GAAAGAAAGAAAGAAAGAAAGAAAGAAAGAAAGAAAGAAAAGAACTGTGAAGGGAGGAATGACATTGGAGAACTTACACTAGGTAATTTACACATGATGGCATTTAAGACGACATTGTTTTTTTTAACAAATGGTGCTGGGAAATCAAATATTCATTCATGGGATTAAAACACGATTATTAAGACCTTTCATACCACCGGGGAAAAATAATAACACAAAGTGGCTTGCAGACCTAAATGTAAGATCCAGGAGAATAAAAACTGTAGAAGAAAGTATAGGAGAAAAGTTTCCTGACTTTGGGTTAAATAAAGAATAGGCATGACACCAAATCATAAAAGGGAATATTGATAAAGTAGACTTCATTAGAATCAAAACATTGAGCATTTCAGAAGACAGCATTTAGAAAATGAAGACAAGCCACAGGCTGAGGGAAAACGTAAGACCTGTTATGACTTGAATTCAGAATGTACAAAGAAGTCTGGTAAGTGAATAAGACAAACAACTTAGTTGTAAAGTGGGCAAAAGATTATTTCACCAGTGAAGCTCTATGCATGACTCGTTGCAGGCAAAGCTGCTCAGCACCGTCTGAGGCTAGGGATCCAAAGTAAAAGCATAGTAAGATCTTGCTCGCGTGCACTAGACTTTTAGCAAATAGACCAAATACTGAGGTGCTAGGGAAGCTGAAATCCTCGCGCATTCCTGCTGGGAGTGTACCACGCTAAGGCCCTGGAGCAAAGTAACTGATGATTTCTTAAAAAGTTACTCACAAACTTACCATGTGGCCCAGCAGTCCTACTCCGGGGATGTGCTCCACAGAAATGAGAAAAATATGTCTAAATGTTAATAACAATTTTATTTATTGTAGTTCCAAACTGGAAAGTCCAGAGGTTTCCCAATTGATGATGGGATTAACCAAATGTGGTGTCTGCAAACAGTGGGACATGATTCAGAAAGCACAGTCCTGGTACCTGCCAGAGTGTGGATGGATCTTAAAAACATTCTGAGTGGGGGAAAAAAAAAGGAGCTACAAAGACTATGAATTTTGTGATCTGATTTACATGAAATGTTCAGAAAAGGCAAATTCCCGGAGACAGCAGATCAGTGGTTGCTTTGGGCTGGGGTTGGGTGGGGGTTCACTGCAGAAGGCCACGAGGAAACTTGCGGACCATCAGAGTGCTTACAAATTGAATTGTGATGGCGCTTCCACAGCTCTAAATTTCCTTTAAAAAACCCAAACTGCATATATTGATAATATGTGAATTTTGTAGCATGTCCATTTGAGGATGCATGACTATCTCAAGATGTCTTCTTCCAGCGTGGCCAGGGCTTTCCACTCTTAACAATCTTGTTCACATAACATTTTTTTAACATATGATTTCTATTTCTGAAGAAATCAAAACCTGTTTCATGCAGTGGATGAAATTACTTCATTTGAGCCATCAACTCCGAAGAACAAGATTTAGGGATACAGATTAGCTTGTTTAGACTTTAGGTGAAGTTTAGTCCAGAGCATTGTAGTAGCTGGTTAGCAATTAAAGTTTACTTTGCCGAAACGTATGAGTTCTGAATTTAGTGCAGTATCTAATAAAGTCCCATGGTACCTTGGGAATAGGACATTGTTCTTCTTATACTATGTGAGCTTGAAGGAGATGCAGTAAATCACCCAAGGTCATCTTTCATAACAGTTGAAAAACCATAAATTCAGTTAGATCCACCCTCGACCCCACAGCTAGAGTGGTGGGAGATGTTGCTGTCTTTTATGAAAATGGCCAGCTGGCTACAAAGCCAATTTGTCCCTGAGGTTCTGTTTAGAAGTGCTTTCCTTTGATTCACTAGTTGGATTCCTGTGATTCACTAAATCCTTCTTTTTTAGCTCTTGCAGTTCAACCCCCTGGAACGTCTGGGTGCTGGAGTGGCCGGTGTCGAAGATATCAAATCTCACCCATTTTTTACCCCTGTGGATTGGGCAGAACTGTTGAGATGAATTGCACACATCCTGATCTCTGAATGGCAGCTCCGCCCCACAGTCATTGCAGAGCACCAAGCCTTTGGATGAAGGCCTGTAGGGGTCTGGGGGAGGAGCTGGCAGGCTCTCATTTGTACTTCCCGTCTGGACAAGATGTTAGCTAACTGTGCCAGGAGCTGTTAACCAAGGTGTTACTTAATGTAGTGGTTTGCACTGCAAACCCAACTGAAACACGAATGTGATTCCAGAAGTTCCTCCAACTCGGAGCTCTAGGTGCAGAACTGTTTCATTTGACAGAAGGAACCTTACAAGGCAGCTGATTACCATCTGCTGACCAACATTGGTTTACACAGTCAAATTATTTGCGAGTAATGCACAGAAAGTATTTGATGAACAACGTCACTTAGGGGCTCAAAAAGTGACAAGAAGTGCACACATGGCATCAGAAAGAAAGTGTACTGTGAGACCTGTATAACTTGGGGACTTTAAATGGGCTCTGGATGACTTTGCGTGGTGAAGCCATTTTCTGTTGTCAGCTCGGAACCGTGTGGCTCGACAGAACTCTCATGGCGTGGCTCATGTGCGCGCCGCTCGCCCCGCCGCCTCCTTCTTGCCCATCTTTCCGTCGTTGGCACCCTTGTTTCTTCTCTCCTTCCTGCGCTTGTTAGCACACGTGCCACACAAAGGGAAGGGAGCATTTATTTCACAAACTGTATCAGCTTAGTCAAGACTAAGAAATCATGACATAAAATAAATCAGGTAAAAATGTAGATGTCTCTTTCATTTACCAGTTTGTAGCTTTAAACATTTTTTAAAAATTTCAAAGAATTTATTGTTGTTCCTTTTCAGAATATTATCAACTTTTTGCTGCTCCTTGTTGTACTTATTTCATTTTGCTTTTTGGTAAACGAACCGAAAGGCTCTGGAGGATCATGTCCAAATGGGAGCGGGTGGCAATCTTGTTTTATTCCTTCCAGCATGCAGCCTTTCAGAATTGAGCTCCTTGTCTACTTGTCAAGTAGACAAGTAGAAAGATGCAAGCATCGCACAGCTCCAGACACTTGTATTTGTTGTTTCTTTATGTTGCCAAGAGAGCTCTTGTAGTCAGCCACTGTTCATAAAAATTTACAAATGTTTAAAGTGTTTTCAGTTTTAAACTCTATTCAAGGAAAAATAAGACACTATTTCCAAATTAGTGGCCACACCTCTCAAAATAATGAAGGTGTCTGTCTCTCTCTCTCCCCTCCACCCCCACAACTGTATCATGTCTTTCTTTTTTGTGTGTGGTGCTGAGGATCAAACCCAGAGCCACGTGCTTGCTGGGCAGGAACTCTACCACTGACCTATATCCCCAGCCCTTGAACATGTTCTCTTGTGTTTCTGCGATGCGCAGGAGCGCCCACCCTCCTCCAAGAGCTTCTCTGTAGACCCATCTGCCATCAGCCAGGTCCTCCCAGCAAGTTCAGTGGAAGCAGAAAATGCGTTAGTGAGAAAGGAAATGTGCAAGCAGTTTTCTTTTCTCTATTATTCTACTCCCCTTTTTCCTTTTTGGTCCCCTTATAACCTGAACCCCTGCTAAAGGGCTGCAATAACACCAGCATAGGGAGCAGGTCACCAGGATCATTGCTCAGTCCTGGTGACATCACTCCCTGGATCAGGGCTCAGCTTGTCACCCCCAGCCTCATAACAGGAACTCACGCAGGTGAGACCTAAGAGTGACATCCTGTAGGACTGGTAGGAAATCTGCAAGTCCCCCGATCTGGCTGTCACAGAACTTCCTTCCAGAAGTGCCCTGTGACATGAAAGTAGGACTCCACAGCCAAGGTGAAGATCCCTGCCCTAGCACATGATGGGGCCCTTGGATTCAAAGGACAGTCATGTCAACAGATGCTGCTCTGTCAGAGGACGCAGTTCTGTGGCATCAGTTTCCCCTTGTGTTTTCTCTGTGCATGTTTGACTGGTGTGAGTGCTCAGTGTACATATGGCATTCATAGTCACGGTGGGCATGAATTATTTTAGTGATGAACACCAGGAGACATGACTAGTAAAACCCAGGCTACTTTTATTTGATTTTTTCTATAAAATAGTATGAATGATGCTGGCTTCTGGGTGTTTTTTTTTTTTTTCCTTCGTATTTTGTTTGCTTGAGCAATAGAGTATGAGTCTAAATCGTAACTTAACTACTCAGTGCAATCTACTCTGATTTTCTCTATTATGGTAAATATATGTTTAACTTTTTAAATATACAGTTTGGTAATGGCGTTAAGCATGCTCACATTTTTGGGTAATCATACCACTTTCCATTTCCAGAGCGTTTTTGTGTCACCCCAACTCTTCTACTTCATATGAGAAGAACCACATGATATTGTTCTTCTGCATGTAAGTTATTTCACACACTGTCATGTTTCCAAGGTTCATCCATGCTGTAGCAGGTATCAGACCTCCTTCTGGCAGCGGGCCAGCATTCCACTGCATGCACGTACCTCATGCTGTTGGGCTGTTCTTCTGTCAATGGACGTGGGTTGTCTGTCCTTCAGCTACTGTGAACAGTAAGAACATGATGTCCATTTGTCGTCGTCTGCTCCCTCATTTGTTTCTGGTTTTTTTGGCACTGGAGATCAAACTTGAGACCTTGCACTTGTCAAGCAGGTGCTTATGCTGCTGAGCTATATCCCTGGCCCCTGGTCTGTCTGTCTGTCTGTCTGTCTGTCTGTCTGTCTCTGTCTCTGTCTCTGTCTCT